CAGCTGGCTGCTCGGGGTGTGATGGGGGGCTTCGGCAGAGCCAGGGTCCGGAGTGGTGGGCAGGAGCAGAGTGGGGGGCAGCGTGCATGGGCATGCTGTTGCCCCAGCTCTGCCAGTGTTGTCCCAGTTTGGCCCCAGCTCCTGTGCCACGTCTTGGGGCCAGGGGTATCCCTGTGCCTCCAGCTGCCTATGCTCTCTCAGGAAGCAGCGTTTCCAGTTTTGAAGGCTGCTTTCCTTTATACCCCAGCCCTGCCCATGCTGATTTGCTCTCTGGACTGGGGTACCTGGAAACCACCCTCAAGGTTACCCCTGGACTGGCATCCCTGCCAAGCCCAGGGTGGGTAGCACTCCGATGTCTTCCCATCCCTGTCCCTATCCCCATCATGCTCCAGTGATGACTGTTCTGAGGGATGTCTCTGTGCTGGGGTGCTCCCCCTGCATGCTGTGCCTGTGCCCAGGCACAGGCTGGGTGTCCCAGCAGGGACGTGGGAGCAGGGATGGGTGTCTCAGTGGGGACACGGGAGCAGCGCTGGGTGCCCCAGGCATGCAGGAGCAGGACCCGCCGGCACCACGTGTGCCACAGCTCGTTTCCCTCACATGCAAACATTTGGCTGGAAGCTTAGTGCAGCCTCTTGTCTCCTCGGAGCAATCAGGATTTGTCGCTGCTTGCAATGTTTAACGTCGTCTTCCAGAGGCTAAATACCGTGGGGAGCCGTGTAAGCTGCGGAAATACCTACATGAGCTGGGATCAGCTGGAGGCTGGCACAATGGGCTGGCAGCAGTAGGGATGGGGGACTGGGAGTGCGTGGGGCTGCTGCTCGTGTCCCCCGTGCTTGCGGGTGGGCTGGCGTGAGCCAGGGTGAAGATGCTGGGGGCCAGCACCTTGTTGTCAGGGGGCTCCCGGCAGCAGTGGGGCAGGATGGCGAGCCCCAGGGGGGTGGAGGGGAGTGGGAGGGGGGGAGCCCAGAGCTGTGTGGGGTGGGGAGGAGGATGCCAGGGCCCTCGGTGATCTCTTGCTGGGATCCAGCTGTCAAGACGCAGGCAGCTATTTCTGTCAAGGTCAGCGTGTCTCCACGGCAGAGAGCAGGGAAATGAGGAATCTTGTTGAGAAATTACCTCCCTAATGGGGTCTCCCCTGCGCGTGAGCGTGGCGCAGGGATGCCAGCATGCGGCAGCTGAACAGGGAGACTGTGTGGGAATTCTGCTGACCGAGCCCCGAGGCTGCAGCACCCATGGGTGCTCAGCAAGCGGAGCAAGGTGCGGGGGCCCGTGCCCCAGGCGCTGTCCCCAGTTGGACATGTGTGCTCCAGCCCCACAAGACACTTTTCTGGGTCAGCTGAGGGGAGGAAATCATGTTCCCGGTGCAGGCAGGCTCTCCTCTGCCCTTACTCCTCCTCCTCCTCCTCCTCCTCATGCGCTCCCTGTTACCTAATTGGGTTTGTCATGCTGGAAAGGCAAAGCCCTTCAGGACTGTGCTGCGCTCTCGCCAGTGCGATTTCACAGCTGGCCTCGGCACCCTGGCAGCTGACAAGTGAGTAACTCAGGGGGCCCCACAGGCACCTCTGCCCTCCCCGCATGCCCCCGCAGCCGTGCCCACCTGTCTGGGGCTGCAGGGCACAGGGGACAAGGCCTCTGCCGCCTCTGGACCTTCTCCGCCAGCCC